CGGTCGACCACTAAAAGGTTCAAACAGTTCAAAAAAAAAAAATTTTGGCTTAACCAGTCGACCAACCGGTTGTTTCGGCGCAAATTTGATAAAAAATTGATGAAAATTAACTGTTGGAGCACTCAGTATCAGATTGAGAAAAAAGTCATTTTTTTACTCAAATTTGATAAAAATTTTGATGAACCGTTTGAAATGCTCCTAGGCATCGGATAGTTCTCAAGCTGTTCTCTAACCAGACCATTCATTCTTTATGAGTAAGTTTTAGGTTTTAAGAAGTCCAACAACCTTATTTCCAATGTAACCAAAAAAAAAAAAAAATCTCACACAGCTTAGTGGTTCAGATTTTTATCCACACACACATGGGTTTCCAACCAAAGAAAGAGACCTACCCATTTGGATCGAGTGATTTGGACCAAAAATCATAATAATAATAATAATAATACACATATTTTAAGAGAGGCATGAGATAAAGTAGAGAGAAACTATATATATATAATATAATTTTATGATCTTTGTTTGAATCTCTCAGAATTAGATAGATTATACTTACCCAAAAAAAGAAGATAGATTTAAGAAAAATAATTATCTATTTTTTTTTTTTATAATACTAAAACTTTAGATATAAAAATAATAATAATTTGACACATACAAAAGACTATTTTGATAATTTAATATGAAACTTTTTTTTTTTTTTTTGTTAATGTAATTTAACCAAAGAAGGGGTGGATATTTGGTGCAAATTAAATAAGTTGATTATAATTTATTTTTGGAATAAATTATAAACACATCATTTGAGATTTACTTAAATTACAAATTATCTCTATGGTTCTAGAAATTACATTATGCCCCATATGATTTCTAATTTCATAACAAATAGGTCTTTTTATTAATAAATCATCAATTAATTAATAATTTTTAATAATGTTAAATTTAATTTCAATTAATAATTCAGATAATTTTATTATTATATAGGTAAATAATTAGAAAATTTTCTTTTTTCAATTAATTTGTAAAATAAAAAATTCTGGTAGGGAAGTATTTGTAATTTTTCAAATTACAGAGGACAATTCGTATTTTAACAAATCTTAAGAGATGTATTTATAATTTACCATTTATTTTAATTTGAGAATATGTGTCAGGTTATTTGGTATAACTTTCATCTCACGTTTTATTGAGAAAAAAACTTAAATAAATTTTTAAAAAATAATTATTTAAAAATTAAAATAAAAGTATTTTTTATTATATTTTTTAACTTATAATATACTCATTCCGTTCCAAAATATTAATCCCTTATTTCATTTTTCATTGCCTAAAATATTAATCTCTCTTTTCAAAATCAAGTACAAAAAATAATATAAATTTTATTTTGTCCTTATGTTTAAATTATTAATAACATAAAAGTACAATTATAATATTAATATTTTCAAAAAAATATATATCAAAAAAATAATTAATATAAAAAATCAAATTTTCAAAGTATAATAATTGTATGGCGCGGAGGGAGTCTGTCTTTCCTCTTCTTTTCTATGCTTGTGTGGTGGAACACACACATCCATGGTTCGGATCAAAGGTTGCGGGGTCTCAATGATTGAGACAGAGCACAGATTTAACTAGTTGAGGAAGAAAAATAAAACCAAGGGAAGGGAGGGGGCGTCGGGGGTGGTGGGAAGGGAGGGGAGGGAGGCGGAGGGGGGTGGCGAGGGGGAAGGGGAAGCTGTCGCGAGGTGGCAGTAGGGATGCAATGGGGGTGTCGGAGGTGCAGTAGGATGACAATGGGTTAATGGTAATATTAATTTCCCATCCCCATTACCCTATAATAAATTTTTTCCCATTCTCCATTTCCATGGATACCACCCTCCTCATTTCCTAATGGGTTTGGATTTTCCCAACCACTTTAACCCCATTTTTATTTTATTTTTATTTTTTATATTTAATGTAATACCACTTTTTTTTTTTTTTTTTTTTTTTTTTTTTTTTTTAAAAAATTCACAACCAAAACTAAATATACATTCAATCTTTTTTCTTTTATTTATTTATTTATTTTTTCAGGTTCACAATTTTTTTTTTTTTTTTTTTAAGATTCACAACCAAAACTAAATGTACATTCAATCTTTTTTCTTTTATTTATTTATTTATTTTTTCAGGTTCACAACCAACTTTTTTTTTTGGTTTTTTTTTTTAAAAAATTCACAACCAAAACTAAATATACATTCAATCTTTTTTCTTTAATTTATTTATTTATTTTTTCAGGTTCACAACTATTTTTTTTTTAAGATCCACAACCAAAACTAAATATACATCCAATCTTTTATTTTTTTATTTTTTTTTATTTTTAAGGTTCACAACCATTTTTTTTTTTAATTCTTAAGATTCACAACCAAAGCTAAAAATACATTCAATCTTTTTCTTTTGTTTTTTATTTTTTAAGGTTCACGACCAATTTTTTTTTTTTTTTTTAAGATTCATAACTAAAGCTAAATATACATTCATCTTATTTTATTTTATTTGACTCAACAATAAAATCAAATACACATTAATTAACATTGCCACATTATTCTTGTCAAATTTTATGCATATCTAGAATTTTTTAAATTTATTTTAAAAAATTAAGGACACTGTCTAGTGCAGGTTTCGGTTTACTTTTCTATATTATTTATTTTGTTATGTATTGTAATTTTCAGAATGATTTACTTGGTCTGAAATTTCAATTAACGAGTATGAATCTATTTTGTTATTGTGGGGATATATTTTCTGAGTACCAACACGTGACAAGGTGATGCCGACGTGTCAGCCGAGGTGCCACGTGTCCTGATCGTGACGCCGAGGTGATCTCGGCAAGGTCGAGGTTATCTGCGAAGATATCGGAATCTGAGATAAGTGGAAAAGGGGCAAGAGAGTTTATACTAATCCCACTGGGAGTCCCAGATTGGCAGTAATCCTGAGTCCATTGGAGTTAGGCTCCTATTGGGACTAGGATTGAGTTTGCTATAAATAAAAGGCACCCCCATGGGTCTAAGGTATGCTTTTTATGCTCAAGCTTGTGAGTTAAATAATTGATTTATCTTTGAGAGATATACTGACTTGATCGTCGGAGTACTCCGGGTGGAAGAACCACCGCCGGAGTTTTTTCTTTCTGTGCAGGACAGCAATGTGCCATCTATTCTGCCTGTGTTCTACAACTAAATTACTAAAGAAGACAGTGTGATCGAAAAATCACTCACACAGTTATGTATATGTATACTAAACCTTCAATCATAAGCCTTATTTTGGTGGGTTGAGTGCTCAACCCTATTTGAGGCGAGATGGGGATTTTTGAAAGAACATCCGGAATGTATACTTGAGAGAAACTGCCTATGAGAGCAAACAATTCCCTGCAACTGTATTTTAATTTAATGTTTTTCAAAATAGTGGACTCAATCATCTTTTTTGAAAAACAAAAAAGAATAAATAAAAATTGAATAAGTACTACATTAACAATGAGGCAAAGCCAGCCCTGCGTGATTCTTTATTGATAAGATTAACCCTAAAATCTTTCTTTGTAGCATTTGAAAAAAGAAAATAAAAAAAAATAAATGATTAGAATCTCATAATGTTCTATAATTTATTTGATTTGGTATTAGGAAAAAATTTATGATTAAATTTACCAATTTTTCATTTAGGTTGTATACAATTATTCAAAAGTGAACATTATGTAATAAAAGCGCTGGCATGAATCAATTTAAAATGTTAAAATGCTTAATTGAACGGAAATTTAGTCTGTAGACATAATTGATTTAAAAAAATTGGCATAATTTACTCTATTTATATTGGAAATGGAAATTTTGTTATCACTCTTCCAACGAGTCATACTCGTCATTCAGTACCTTACAAACTTGTGTTGGTTCTATTTTTTTTTTTTAACCAAAAAAAAAAAAACAATAATTTTGTTTTGATATTAGAAAGAAATTAATCAAATTATTGTCATACTGATATCTCTTATAATTGTCAATGACAATTTTAAACTTTGAATTATTATGGTATTAAATTTTATCATTCAAAATTGGAAAAGAAAAATTAGTTGCAAGACAAGATGATCTTACTTTCCTAAAATCTTACAAGCGAGTAGTTAGTGTTGTGATAGAAGCATTCTTCACAATCCAACCACATTCCTGCAAGACCTAAAAAGAGTACAATCATTTGCAATCAAGTCTATTTCAAGCCAATTAATTGAAATAAAAAAATAAAAATAAAAAAAATAAAAAAATAAGTTGTTAACATTAAATATATTAAAAAAAGAAAGAAACAAGATTAAGGGTATATTTAGCTAAAAAACAAAAATTGTTAACATTAAATATATTAAAAAAGAAAGAAAAAGGATCGAAGGTATATTTAACTTTTGTTGTGAACCTTAAAAAATAAAAAAATAAAAAAAAAGTTGTTAACATTAAATATATTAAAAAAGAAAGAAAAAAAAGATTAAAAGTATATTTAGTTTTTGTTGTGAACCTTAAAAAAAAAAAAAAAAAACAAAACAAAAAAAAGAAAAAGTTGTTAACATTAAATATATTAGTGTTGGATTTCATGTTTTGAGAATTTCAGAAGATTCATCTCGTTGAGAGGTTTCCGACGGTATAAAATATCTCCAAACAGGTTTGTTTTGGGAGAAAATTCAATAAAATAGTTTCAATTTTTCTAGTATAATAGTCATATTATTGTACTTGCCAATGATGATATTGCATTATTGCATGGTGGTATACCTAGGCATTGTAATAGCATTAATCTTACTCATTCTATGTTTTTTTGTTGTGTCAACTATGAGTTCTTTCATGTCTTAATTTGTAAATCAAGGAAATTACTACAAAATTTTTTTGTATCCATGGAATAATAAGTGAAAGTTTAACTTTATTGTTATAGTTACATGGTTGGAATGTCAATATTATGACCATAATATTGCTATATATATATATATATAATTGATTGTCATATTATTAAGTTTGAAAAATGGGTTTAATTTTGGACTTCAATAGCTATGCTCATATATATATATACATATATTATAATTTTACTTTATTTATTTTGAGAATGGAGAAGGATTTGCCTATGGAGGTCCTCCAATTTTTTTATATGGTTCCAAAAGAAGCTGTGATTTTCGATGATAGCAAGAATGATTTGTCGTCTACTAAGACGTTTTTGGATCTTCTTCCTTGTTTCTATCGTTCAGTTTTCCCTAGAAGGTATTAAAAAGATGCTTCCAGTTGTCCGAAATTCCATTACTTCGATCATTTCCAGGTTGTTAATACATATACATTCACCCTCTCGCTTTGGAACCTTCAATCAAGGTTACCAAAAGCTAGGAAGACAAGGTAAGGGGTAGAAGAAGAAGAAGAAAAAATAAAGGAGATGCATTGTTTAGCATTAGAAGCTACTCATTGACCACCTCCAAGCTACTCAAGTGGGAAACACCAAGGTTAGATTGCTAAATTTCATTGCTTTTTCTCACATGCTTTAAATTTTATTGCATCCTGCAGCTTGGCGGCTCTCTTACTACACATACAATTGGTCATTCTCTTAATTAAGAGCTCTTTTCTCTAAATTTAAAATGTTCAAATTTTCATGCTCTTTTTACTGCATAAGATGTGATGCTGCATTCTTCTTATTTCTACAAATGGATTTTTCTTCCTTTCTTAAAGCCACAGTTAATTGATGGACCATAGGGGAAGAGAGCTAGTTGATGGACTTTATTCTGCATGTAATTCTCTATGTATGTTTGCATATGTATCTATGTGTTGATGATGCAACTGTACTTTGAATGCTAACTATGAGTTGATTAATCACTATTTTCATTTATCAATCTCATCAGGTATGAAATTGGGATTTTTCTTTACATGAGGTAAGCATTGTTGTAAATCATCAAATCACATATGTTCTATTATAAAAGGGGTCCATCAAAGCAGAAAAAACAAGTGGGAAAATTTGTGGCAGACAGATAGATGCACATGGGAATAGTTATTTGGTGATTTTCGAATACGGGTCACATGGTGTTCCAAGAGTGCCGTACTCAATGTGATTAGTTCAGTGATTAAAGAGCACACAAAATTTCTCACCCTCAAAAGTTTAGTTTTCAAAATCATGGCTACAAATTATGTTGGATTAGCAGTTATTAGGATGCTACTATACCAGCAAGAAAAAGAAAATAGTTGAAGGAGATCCTTTTGTAATGCATTGATACAATACCCCATTTTACCATGGTCTTATGTACAAGAGACCCATTCCATCCTATTCTAATTTTTTTAAGGCTTAGCAAGTCTCCTATGACGAGTTCATAAACCTTGTCCTCCAATCATATTGGAGAAGCTTTTAGTTTCTAAATCACCTCAAACTGTTAAGTCACCAATTGTCCTAAAACTTAAGTTGTTAGGAAATGGGCCCAACAATGTATATCAAGCTATCCAACATAAACTACAAAGGAAGAGCGAAGAAATGAAAGGATGGAAAGTAAAAATTAAAAGGTACTGAGATTTTGGAAGATATAACTACAACTTTAACAAATTAAATTTGGTGAATGCTGGAATTGGAAGTAATTTGGACTTCCACACTAAACAAATTAATTTGACCATGGAAGCACCTTTGAGACCCCTGGCACTTATTGCTATGATTCGTTGTGTATCAGTTTGTCCATGTTGCCCCCATCACTGTAACAGAGAAAATATTTCTCTTTCACCATTTTTCTTATAAATATTATATTTGGTGAATGCTGGAATTGGAAGTAATTTGGGCTTCCACACTAAACAAATTAATTTGACCATGGAAGCACCTTTGAGACCCTGGCACTTATCGCTATGATTCGTTGTGTATCAGTTCATTCATGTTGCCACCATCACTGTAGCAGAGAAAATCTTTCTCTTTCACCATTTTTCTTATACATATTATTCTGTCTGGCTATCTTATTGTTATGATTGCCAAGCTCGTTGTTTTCATGTTGCTTCAGTTACTCATCTGGATAATTTCAGTAATAGTTTAGTGCATAATTTCTGAGAGTCACACTTGGAGTTTCTATCATTAGATCGGTCTCATATCTACTCTAATGTATGGCCTAGTAGCCAAAGCTTCTATTTTTTTTTTATTTTTTTTAGGGGGCGTGGGACTCACTTTAGGCTATATTGGTAGACTAAGTCAAAATAAGTGAAATAACAAAAAGCTAAGTGTGCATTTGATATGCCATGAAAATCAAAGTTGCTTCATTTTATCATATAGTACTTGTAATTGATGCATCTTTGTGAATGTGAAGTGTAGACAAGCAAAAATAACAGTCATCTTATCTATTGATGATGAGCAATTGATACAATGGAAAAATCTAGAATTGGTCCTATACAAACTTGTACCAAAAAAAGGGGAGAAAACTATACATACATATTCTTTAATTTCCCTGTTCTGCATTACTAACAAGTAAAAACCAACTTTTTTCAAATGCAATAAGTGTACTACCAAAAAAAGTTGGATTTCCCAAAAGGGACCAATATTTTGGGACGGAGGGAGTATAGTACTTGTAATTGATGCATCTTTGTGAAGTGTAGACAAGCAAAAATAACAGTCATCTTATCTATTGATGATGAACAATTGATACAATGGAAAAATCTAGAATTGGTCCTATACAAACTTGTACCAAAAAAAGGGGAGAAAACTATACATACATATTCTTTAATTTCCCTGTTCTGCATTACTAACAAGTAACTTTAATATTGCAAACATGTCTTTATCAAAAAAATTCTTTTGAGAGCCTTAACCTAAGTTATTTTTTTCCTTTTTTTTTTCAGTGATTGCTCCATCACCTGCAATTACTCTTGGAATTCAGAACTCTCCTTCTATGCAGCATTCAGCGGCATTATTCTTTTTCCTTGGAGGGCTAGTTGTGCTTCTAATATTGCTGATTCTCGTATTTATCTTCTGGAAAATTATCAAACCAGAAAAGCTGAAAAAGTCTGTAGGATGTACTAAAGGGCAGCAGGGTAAAAGTTTTGCTGATGTGTGAGAACTAAGGGAAGCATTGATGAGCATCATGATTAAAACTTTTGTTATTTTGTTGCAGGTTCAACTGATTTCTTTAGTGGAAATCTTCGAACCATAAGCTATTTTGCCTTCCACAAATTAAAGAAGGCAACTAAAAATTTTCACCACTGTAATCTTCTTGGAAGAGGTGGTTTTGGTCCTGTCTATCGGGTATTACTGCTTCTAATGAAAACTCTGTCTGGGAATTTCTATTTCTATTTTGTATAATCAGGAAAAGTCCTAAAGATAGTGGCAAAACTCTTTGACGACCTCTACCTATGTATGTGAAGCGTCAAAATGGAATATTGGAACTAACAATGAATGGGTCGAACAACATTTATCTACAATTATGAGATGCAGGGGATGGGCTAAAATGTTGACTGTGGTAGAGGGATGGGATTTAAGGCAAAAAGAAACTTGATTTAAGGTAGAAAGAACCTTACTATAAGAAACGAATTAGAAACGTAAGAGCTAAGAAGAAAATTTGTTGTGTTCTTAAATTTTAGGAAGACCAAGGACCTCTTAAGCCTATATGTAGGTTGGTTTTGATTAATGTCTTAGTGTAGATGTTGCAAAAAAATTGTTTATATGTGCTGGCCTCCTTTTGTGCGTATTGCACCACCAAATATTCACCACTGACAGATTAAGTCTTCAGAAGGGATCTAATTTCTTTTTATTATGTCAATCATTATATTAATTAATATGTTGCCTCTTTATAGGGAAAACTAGAAGATGGATGGAAGGTTGGTCGCTGTGAAAAAACTATCCCTTGACCAATCCCAGCAGGGAGAATCAGAATTCCTTGCAGAGGTGAGGATGATCACAAGCATACAACATAAGAACCTGGTTCGCCTTATTGGATGTTGCTCAGATGGAGCTCAGCGGCTACTTGTCTATGAGTACATGAAGAATAGGAGTTTGGACCTCATACTATATGGTATCACCTATATTTGACTCTGTATGCATACTCTAGTCCTTTTGTTCAGAAAAGAATCTCCTCCTGATTTGTTTTTATTTAATTAATCAGCATTTAATTACGTGTGCTCTACAAAGTCCTATAGATGCAATGATAAGGAAGAGTGATATGATTACTATGAATGGGAATGGGAATGTTAGGGGGAGAAGTAGACCTAAACTGACATGGGATGCAAATTTTGGGACACAAGGCGTAGTTTGGTTCGGTTTGGTTAGCCTCTAATTACATGATAGAAGTTATTTGAAGCTTCCAAAAGCTAAAATCACTGGGCCTGTTTGGTATAGCTTCTTGTAAGTTGAAAGTAGATAATCAAAAAATAGAAGCCAAACACACCCCTCCCCAACTTCCAGATAATTAGTTTTTTGAGCTTATTTATTTCTGCATGATAAGCTGTAAGTAGAAGTTACACCAACCAGTCTAACACAAACTCCCCAAATAATAAATAATAATAATAAAAGAAGCTATAAACAGCTCATATAAGCTACACCAAATATCCCCACTATCCTTCTTGGGATTGTAGCTAGGTCTACATTGTAAGATCTCCAAAAAAGAGGGCAAGAAAAAACAATTATTGGATTTTGTCATCTTCAGTAAACTAACTTGACTACTCGCACATTCATCCCATACCATACCCTTGACTATCCTTTTCTGTGACGGAAATTGATTTTATATTTTTATTTTTCCTTTTTTGCTGTGCACGCCGCTTGATGAAGGAACCTTTAAAAGGAAGGAGTCTTCTAAAACTTTTAATGATTTTAATTTAGGTGTGTGCTACTCCAATACAATGATAGTCATTTACTTTTTTATTGATTTATAGTATAATATGTGATGAACGAGGCATGCCCAACCTATTTGCAAAGCTAATCGCCCAACATAAAAGATGATGGAATCGACCTTTGTTTTGGAAATGTATAGGTTCTTTTATTTTTTTTATTTTTTATTCCCTAAAATGTATGGGTCTTTATGCTATAGAAATTAACAACTGATTCATGCTGCAAACACTTTTTTCCAGAGCTCTGTCTGAGCTCTACTTTTGCTTGACACCATATGCAGCTCAATTGCAAACTAAACAGAATTTTAATTTATAAGTTTTATAATGACCAGGGTTACTGTGTACTTTTTTAATTTGTCTTCTGGCACAGGAAAGAATGATCATCAGTTCCTGAACTGGGAAACCCGCTTCCAAATAATTCTTGGTATTGCTCGAGGATTGCAATATCTGCATGAGGATTCACACCTCAGAATCGTTCACAGAGATATCAAAGCTAGCAACATTCTTCTAGATGATAAATTTCAACCGAAGATTGGAGATTTTGGCCTGGCCAGGTTCTTTCCTGAAGACCAGGTTTACTTGAGCACTAATTTTGCTGGGACATTGTAAGTCTATTTCCGATTATAATTTCCCAAGAACATTGCAATCATATTATAATTGCTAAAGACCATTAAGGCCATTGGGATGGCATTTGGGAGTAAGGATTTTTAGGCAAGCAACTAAAATAAAAAGGAACAAAAATGGTTTTAGTATGCAGTTTTAGGGTACCTATTGAGTAGAACTGCCAAAAAAAAAGTAACAATAATAATAAAATAAAGGAAAACTTACATGTAGGTCCTAATAGATAGACTTATTGTCCAATAGGTCATATGATAATTAATGGCATTTTTCATCAAACACTATTAAAAAACGTCACTAATTATTAAGTTTCAGTGACAGTTTAAAAATTGTCACAAAAAATGTCACTAATTATAAGTTTTAACAGCAGTTTAAAAAAAATAGTCAAAAAAAATGTTACTAATTTTCAACTTTCAGCGACAGTTTGAAAAATTTGTCACAGAAAAATGTCACTAATTGTAAGTTTTAGGGACAATTTATAAAAGTCGTGACAGAAAAAAGTTACTAATTGTCAATTTTTAGCGATATAGGCCAAAAATCGTCACAAAAAATTATTTTTAGCGACGATTTTACTAGAACTTATTTTCAATAGAACTTGATGGGAATTAAGTCCAAATATTAGGACATATTGGTAGTTTACCCTAAAATAAAGGTAGTCTTTTGATACAAAATGGAAAGAGAACAAATATAGCCTTGGTAATGGCTTGTTAACCAAATTATGTTGTTTTTTTATCATAAAAACTAAGGGCTATTGGAACTTAATTTCACAAACTACGTGGAAGTGTGTTTACTAAAATTTTTTTGATGAAAATGCTTTTAGCAAACACAATTTCAACTGTTTTGGACTGAATGAAGTAATAATATCGCATGAATAAAATAATGTATAATTGTAGTTAGAAAGCTCTAATAGTAAGAAAGCTTTCAGTGCAAAAAAAGAAAGTGTCATAAACTGGCTTTTAGTTAAGAACTAAGAAGCATGGGCACTTCCATGAAGGAGTGTCATGTCGGGCACAACACTTCGTGGAAATTACTAAAAGCATGTTTGACACTTCTTTAAAGTGTCTTAGTTACAATTTTAAATTCATAATATCGGACAGTTGACAAACACTCTCAGCCACTTCGGCCACACTTCTGCAACCCTCCAAACTAAATTTTTAACCTGTTCAAGGTGTATAGTGTCCTGTGTTTTTGGAAAATTATCGTGTCGACATGTCCATGAACTTTAGGAAAGTAAAAGTGTCTTTTCTAAACACATACATTAGAAAATAAAAGTGTGTTTTCTAAACACACATATATTAGAAAACCCCATTCCCTGCCTTTTTGGTGCAACCAACAATCCCAAGCACACAACTCACAATTCAGAACACCTTTTTGTGTTCAATTCTCTCCCTCAAGTCTGTATACCAAGGGCACAGTGTGTGCCCAGTTTTGCAGCCAACAAGCATCAAATGGACAAAATTGCTTCTCAAATTGGACCCAGGGCATACACCACACAATCTGGACTACCTTTTCCTAAATTTTTAACCTGTTCAAGGTGTATCGTGTCCTGTGTTTTTGGAAAATTATCGTGTCGACATGTCCATGAACTTTAGGAAAGTAAAAGTGTCTTTTCTAAACACATATATTAGAAAATAAAAGTGTGTTTTCTAAACACACATATATTAGAAAATCCCATTCCCTGCCTTTTTGGTGCAACCAACAATCCCAAGCACACAACTCACAATTCAGAACAACTTTTTGTGTTCAATTCTCTCCCTCAAGTCTGTATACCAAGGGCACAGTGTGTGCCCAGTTTTGCAGCCAACAAGCATCAAATGGACAAAATTGCTTCTCAAATTGGACCCAGGGCATACACCACACAATCTGGACTACCTTTTCCTAGTCTGTTTTCTCACTCAATTCTATATACCTAAGAAGCACAGACACTTCTAAGAAGGTGACATATCCATGTCGTGTCCGTGTCGGACACCAACACTCTTAGGACACGTGTTCAACACTCTTCAAAACGTGTCCTATTTTTTAAATTTTTTTAAAGACCCGGACATTCTTTGGACAATTGGAGGACACACGTGTCAATCGCATAAACACACGTGTCTATCGATTGGACACATGTGAAACTAATTATAAGTTTAAACAAAACAACTTTAGCTACAATAATAAAATAAAAACCATATAAATTTATAGAAATTAGTATCATATTGCATTTTTTATTATCTTTGAATGATATATTCATATATATAACATATAATAAATATATAAAATTAGATATTTCATGCGTGTCCCCCGCGTGTCGTGTCCTTCATTTTTTGAAAATTAACGTGTCGGCGTGTCCGTGTTTTATCCGTGTCATGTCACGTGTCCGTGTCCATGCTTCTTAGCTGTATACTCAAGGACATGATGTCTATTTGGCTTTACAGCCAATGGCCATCAAATAGACAAAATTGCCCCTCAAATTGAGCACATGGCATATTTACAAAAGGTCAGTTTACAAGTTGTATCTTTGCACGCAACTCACAATTCAGACCATCTTTTCTTGTTGCGTATTCTCCCTCAAATCCTAAACTCAAGGGCACAGTACGTGCCGGTTTTTGGCCAATGGTCGTCAAATGGACAAAACTGCCCCTCAAACTGGACATATGGCCTTTTTACAATATTAGTTTACAAATCATATCTATGCACACAACGACCATTTCCCATATGCACACAACTCATAGTCGTTCTTTTCTTCTACTAAAATTAATTAATCATTTAATTTGCATCCTAGAAATTTCTCAAACTAAATTTTGGATGTGTCACTATTTTATTATATGAATAATCTAATTAAATTATTATTAGGAGATATAAATTTATAGTTGAATTTATTAATTAATATATTTAATTGTTTAGTTAGACATTAACGCTAAAATAGAGATGCAAGGGAGAATAAGAAGGTAGAGGAGACAAAAACAAATTTAATATTTTAGTTGAGAAAAACGTGTTTGAATAGAAGTGGAAGGAGAGAGGGTGATGCAGGACAGATTCGAAATAGGCCTGAGTATGAGCAAAAACACAAATAACAGGGCTGTTTTGGGGGTTGTGAACAGTAAATATGAACAGTAGACGTGAACAGTGATTTGTAGGAAGTAGAGGAAGGGTTAAAGAAGGATAGATCTAGATATCACACCTAGAAAACCCAAGGCATCACACCAATGGGCTCTTTAGCATCACACTAAAGAAAGATTGCATCAGCACAATCATAGAAGCATAAGCTTAATTTTCATTCATTCCATTCATAAATTGCCACAAGACTTACAATATAATTTATACTCACTTCATCTTGATTCTAAAACTTTCCAAATTAAATGACATGACTAACTTAGACTCCCTAGGACTCTTTAATGCATTAATCATGTGAAAGACTCTAGAAGACTCTTTGACCAACTAAATAACCCAAAGACCTTGACTAGAAATTCAAAGACATTTGACTTGAGAAACTCAAAAGACACTTTTAAATAAATCCCAAATCTAGTTAATCTCCCAAGTAGGCCCCACATCATCTAGCATATGCCAAATTAAGGCTTGGGCCTTAGAACCGTTGGATCCACGCCTTTTATAGACTTTAATTGGCTGCTGCCATTTTCCATCAGAGGGAGACTCATTGATGAAGAATTCTACTTTTAGTATGCATATTTCTATTATGACTTAATTTAAATAAGGAACTTAATTGGATCACAAAGAAGAGAATACAGTGGTCCAACTTTTATTGCCCTTGTGATGTAATCATGTACCATTTTAAAAATATAAGATCATTGAGAGTGTCATGTAGGCTCTAAGTAGGAGAGTAAAAGTTTGGGCAAACTATACCATTTTGTTTTTGTTTTTATTTTTTGTTTTGCTCTTCAGTGAATTATGAACTTTAACAGTATAATTTTTTGAAGTTCCATATGCCTTGTATTTACCTTAGAAATCCACTTGTGCCATTTTGCTTCTTTCTGCCCCAGTTCGTTCTTCTTAGGCACATAAACAGAAGACAAGATATAAATATGAGAATGAGAAACAACATTGGAACCGAAAGCATAGGTATCTAGTGCATGAGTACATACCTTCACAAAGAACATGAGGGAGATTAGAGTCATTAGCAGCAAGAGTAACAGGTAAATAATTGGGATTATTGCTTTTGTCTGAAGGAAAGACATTCATTTGTTTTTTCCCTTACACCTCCTACTATTGACATACAAATATTGCTAGGTTCATAGTCTCCTGTGCTAAAATTCTTCCTGTAGTTCGAATTGTAGCATGAACCGAGGGAGCAAAAATTGCAGTTACCTTTCATCATTCCTTCCAAACTCAAGAAATCAACCATAGATTCTAAGATTTGTTTGGTTTGAGTATTTATTGAGGGAAAGGAAAAGGAAAGGGGGAACAAATGATGAGGATAAATAAGTGAGAGAAGTTAAATTCTTTGCTTTTGATTGGTTAGGCTAAGAAAATGAATTGGTACTATTCAAAAAAAAATAAAAAATTGTTTTTTGTTTGGTTACTCATCAAAAAATGCACAGTATGAGTAATTTCATTTCCCTTTTGTTTTCATTTCTTTCAACAAATCCTAAATTCAAACATATCATATTATGTACAGCCCCTTTTTTTGTGGATTTGAAAGTATGAAATCATATGGTTTCTAGAACTTGGGATGATCTTACTTCTGTAGTGATCATGATCAATACACACACAGAACACCACCAAAGGTCTAATGAGGGTGTATAACATCAAAGTGGAAGATGTTCAAGGGTGCTTTAAAGTAGGACAAATAAGGGAGAGAACAGGAGGGAACTGAACAAATATGGAATGAGAGAGCTACCTACCCTTACTAGGATTTGTTCCCCTAAATAATGATGGAACTAATGTTATTGCCTTTGCACTTCTTTATTTTCTTTCTTTCTTTCTTTCTTTTTAATGCTTTTCCTTGTGCTGGAGCATAGGCATTAGCTAAGCTTGTTTTATTAAATAGATAATAACTGATCCTTTATAAGAGTTTCCATAAATGCTGGCATCATTGTTTAATCTACAAATCTTAATCATTGTGGAGTGGAAACTTGCATCATTTTACGTGCATATCTCAAATTTTTAATCATGCATTATCCATCAAAATTTCCAATTCCTTATTTGAAGCTGTATAGTTGGGTTACTGGGAGGGTGGATCTGGATTTGTTTGCTTTTTTGGATTATTTAGATGATTTGATTTGTTAGGTGGTTTCTCCCCTTCTTGGAGCTCCTTTTTTATATTTTTTAGCATCTTCTTGATGCTGTCAGTAATAAATTTTACTTATCAAAAAAAATGATGCGGCCTTTAATCATTTACTTCTTTTTTCCAGGGGCTATACAGCACCTGAATATGCCATTAGAGGAGAATTGTCTGAAAAAGCTGACATATATAGCTTTGGAGTTCTGGTGCTAGAGATTATTAGTTGTCGAAAAAACACTGATCTTAACTTACCATCAGAAATGCAATACCTCCCCGAATATGTAGGGTCATTACCTTGCCATTTCTACAATTATTGTATCTGTATTTTATTGGTATTTATTAGTTGATTGATTATGTTGTAATATATGTATATATATATTTGAATTATTTTTATTTTCTTGTTAGGCATGGAAGCTCTATGAGAGGTCATCTGTGATTGATCTAGTAGATCCAAAAATGCGAGAAGATGGTTTTGTGGAGAAGGATGTTTTGCGAGCAATCCATGCTGCCTTCTTATGCCTTCAGCCTCATGCAAACCTAAGACCGCCTATGTCAGAGATTGTAGCTATTTTAACACGCAAAGGTGAAATGATTAGAACACCAATGAAACCAGCCTTCACGGATCGTCGGAGGAGGAAGGATGAGAAACTTTCTTGGGATACTATATCAGAGGCTTTCCCTTCCCCACTAAAGAGTGATTCCCCTTCCTTGCCTCAATCTTCACACTAATTAAGGATGGTTTCATATCATATTATATAAATCTTTCTATACAAAACCATGAATTCGATACACTGTTCCTTTGTTGCATTTTTTGTAAAATTTTGTAAAATAGTTTCAGTTTGGTGTTTTTTAATTTTATATTCCAACATTTTTACTGAGACATGGAAACATGTACCGGTATCAGTTGCAGGATGGTTAATAGTTCAGTAGCTGCAGCCTTGTGAGATCATACGTTTGTTAAGTCAATACTTTATGGGTTTTTGTTTTTTTGAATTACTACTTTGTTAGAGAAATTTATACAGGAAGACTGGAGGAGTAATGCTTCTTCAATGATGTTGACATTAAAACGTCTCATCGGGATTTTCTTTCATTGTTTACAATGAATGATGATGCAATCTGTTGCTATCATCATAATGTTTATTAGGCCTGTTTTGTGCACTTTTTTGGAAGTTAAAAATTGTTAATTAGAAAGTAAAAATTAAAAACATATTTTCTCAGCTTCTCAATGTTTAGGTTTTTAAAATTTATCTAAGTTATTTTAACTTCATAAGTTACAAACAATTATGCGAAATAACACAAACTTCTCACTACCAAATGGTTTTTAGAAAACATTTTTTGGGAAATGCTATTCAAGGGACGGACAGAAGATAATTTGACAGTGAATATACATATATAATCTTTAATTTTTTGTGATGACCTAGTGAAATGTAATATCAATCCCTTCTCTCTCTTGTGTCTCTATTTTTGAAAAGGGAGATGGGCTTATTGGCCATGGTGGAGAATGCGATGATAATAATTGTTGGTGGAAGGTTGATTTTGGATGACCTCGATTGACGAGCTCATGTGGATGATTTACAGAATAATGTTATTTATGTATAAAAATTGTATTTTTATGGACAAAATATTTTTAAAATTAAGGACTAAATCATATATAGAGTAAATCATAATGCGATAAAGTGGTGTTTATCTTTAATAAACTTTAGCTTATTTTTTTAATGATTTTTTTTTTTAAAGATTTTTATTATATTTTGTTATTTTTAGTTTTCAAGATTATCTAGTCTAAACAGAGCTGAAAAATAAAATTAAATTAAATTAACAGTAAGCCCCAAAATAATAATAAAAAACTAAAGCCAATAGCTAATCATAACTAGAGCATGGCAACTCCATAATAAAGAGTAGTTTAAATTCGTTTATATCTCCTCTACTATGGTAGTGATCTGCATAATATAATATTTTGGATATTTTTAATTGAGTTTGCCTCCTCTTCAGTATGCAATCAGATTGGAGATTATTATTGGCTCATGGTAAAGCCTTGTTCCGGGTTTATCTGGGTAATTTAAATTATTCAATGTATAGGTCACGTCAAGTACATCATTTCTATAAAAAAAATCACGTTGATTGCATATTAATAACTATTTGATCATATCACATTTGTGTCAATAACAAATATAATTTTAAAAATAAACTGTTGACACAAATGTGTTTTGATTAAGTAATTATCGATATCCGATTTATATAATTTTTTGTAGTAACGATGTATTAGAAAAGACCTTATATATTGTACTATTTAGATTATTGAAATGAATTTCGATATGAACCCACCATGAGTCAAGAGTACCTTCTAACCTATTATTTATAAAAGTTAATTTTGTTAACAAGTGACGTAGAGGCAAAAAACAAAAACAAAATAAATATAGAACTAAATACACGTTTTATTAATTTTATAATTTTTTTACTCATTTTAAAACATTTTTTACATTAATTCCATGCTTACGGCTGTAGTTAACATTTCGCCTATAAAAAAATAATTAAAAAAAAAAATTGCCGGTGAGGTAGTGGTTGGTGGAGCAATCATAAAACACGAGATAACCTTGGCGCACCGTTAGGATGCTTTCAAACCAATCAGTTCATTGGCCTTGCTATTGCTAGGACTCTTCCCCCTTTGGGTTAGGTAAGTCACTCACTCGTTAAAGAGAGAGAGAGAGAGAGAGAGAGGAGGGGGGGTTTCTTTTTAGAGGCTGCCGATTAGGAGGGACGGGGAGAGAGAGAAGAGAGCGAGGATGGGTTTGATAAAAGCAGCGATTGGTGATGCCGTATTGACTTTCATGTGGGTGTTCTGCGCTTCAACACTGGGGGCAGTGACGTCGATCATAGCATCTGCCTCTGGGGTGCAAGGGATGGCAACGCTCTTCATAACCACCGTCCTTGTCTTCATTCTTCTGCTCGTCTTTGGCATCATTGGTGACGCCTTGGGTGGTGCCAGCTTCAATCCCACTGGCACTGCTGCCTTTTACGCCGCCGGCGCCAGCTCCGATTCTCTTTTCTCCATGGCCCTCCGTTTCCCTGCTCAGGTTGGCTTTTTCTCTCTGTTATATTATTCTCTATTCTTGCTTCCTTTCCTTTGCTTGTTTGTGCAGCCGGAAAACATCTCTTTCAATTGTGGCTGGGGATTCCTTGTCTTCTTCATTTTACCCTCTTTTTGTGCCTACCCAATTTACTCTTACCTCGTCTCCTTAGCCATGTTATCCTAATTTCGTGTCTGGATCGACCAAGAACAGGAACTGAAATTTACAAGTGGATAGAATTTGACCAGACCCATTTCACGACTCTGCGGGTTGTTGGCCTCAAATCAAACTTCCTTCATCTTGTTCACTCCCCCGAAATCATGGACATATGTGTTATCCCTATTGAACCAGTGGCAGCTCTAATGTCCTGATCTGATCTGACAATCAACCTAATAGATTCTCCAAGATACCTCAGTTTATGGGAAAACTAATAAAAGAGCTCAGTGTATTGTGGAAAATTAATTTAAACATTATATGAAACTTAAACTGGATTCTCTGTTCACTCCTCTTTCATAAATAACCTTTTTTTGACTTTTACAATAAACTTGATGCAAATGGTCATATGCTGAGAATGAACATGAGATGAAAATCGTAACAGTCCATTTGGCTAACTAGGAGAGAAAAGAAAAGAAAGATAATTGGCATCTTTCCTTCTTGTTTGAATAGTTTATTACAAGAGAGATAAAGTAGGGGCGGAACCAGAAATTTGTATAGGGGCCAAGCTATGTGCATAAAAAAATTTGAGTTTGTTTTGGTACATTATTTTGAAGATGATTTCTTACATAAGTGCTACAAAAGAAGTATGTCATGAGAAGAAAATTAAAGAAAACTAACTAGTCCTTTTTTTTCCATTTGTTCTAAAGTTTTGAACTATTAATTAGATCTCAATATGTAATTGATTAGACCACCCCCATTTTGTTGGCTGACATAATCTAGTAAATAAAAGTATACATACCTCTTTTATTTTTAAAATTAAAAAAGAAATGAAAAAAGAAAAGGAGTATATGTACCTCTTGCAGTAATAAAATCGACACGATGAAATTAATGCTATTAACTAGCATGTGAAGTAGTTTTTTGTATTTTTGATCGAGAGCATGTGAAATAGTTGAAGATCGTCTCATTATACATTGTGAAATACTAATAAAATAGATAGTTAGTAAAGTGATTTATATAAAATTAAGGGGTCATCCAATTATGCAATTTACAAATACTCCTGAAATATAGAGTTAATACCCCTCAGCCCCTATGTTGTTCCGCCCCTGCGATGATGAGAAAAAAGTGAGAAAACATAACAAAACTTTATAATGTGAGTAAGAAGGGTAAAAATGGAAACCTTCACAAGATTATTCAGTTTGTTTTTTTCACAGGCAGCTGGTGCAGTGAGTGGTGCTCTGGCAATTGCTGAAGTGATGCCCATGCAGTACAAAAACATGCTCGGGGGACCTTCTTTGAAAGTTGACTTGCATATTGGAGCGGCGGCTGAGGGGGTTTTGACCTTCATAATTACCTTTGCTGTCCTTCTGATTGTGCTTAGGGGTCCCAGAAGCCCAGTTGTGAAGACATGGTTACTTGCTATGTCAACTGTAGCTTTGGTTGTTACCGGCTCCAATTATACTGGACCTTCCATGAATCCTGCCAATGTGAGTACCAGCAACTTCTTTTTTATCTTTGGGGATCTAGCAAACCGTGGAAGTTCACTGTATGCCATTTACATTTATATTTTGGGGGGTACAAATGCCATTTGCATTGCATCAGCTGATTTTTGCTATGCCTTTTCTTTTGCATAATACTCACGTTTTCCTTTTTTTTATTTTCTTCCTTTTTTTGGTCTTGGTCAAGCACTCACATTATTTGAGTTATAATGAATCTGTACCATATTTTTATGATGCAATGGCCTGCACCTTTGTTAAGTGTCAATTATGAATGCAAAGTATATTACCTTCTGACGAAGATGCAATGGCCTGAACCTTTAAAATGCCATTATGGTCTTGTACTCTTTTATTTATTGTTTTCTTAAAGTGATAAGGATTTTTATTAAGAATAAGCTTAAGAAAGGAGTGTTAAAAATGCCATTATGCCATTATGCTTTTTTGATATCTTTCTTTTTACATTCACCTCTTTCAAAAATTTCCTCATTTCTACTCTTTTGCCAAGTTTTATAACAAACCCATTTTGTTTTCACTACATTTTGGACATCCTCATTCCACATTTCTACATTTTGGACATCCTTACATAATGGCATTTTTCCTTTCGACTCACTAAGTGCCTCATTTGTTGTTTTTTTAACACACTTGCACATTTTTCTTTGTTGCATATTTCAAATCCCATGTAGCTTACTAACATTTTATATAAAACAATTCCCATTTTCTTGAGCAGTCAATGTTTTTCTTCTTCCTCAGCTGTAATTTCTATCTGAACTTCGTAATTTTAATGTTAGTTTTTTAAAATTTGAAATTTTGCAATGCTTTTATATTTGTGATGGAGTTAGCAACGACTTTATAAATATACCCTTATGTAGTTAGGCGTTTGATTTGAAATGATGGCAATTTTGAGGGCACCTTAAGAACTTTGTGTTGCTGGCCTTTGCCGTGAACATGTGTTTCTCCTTTTGTGTGAAGTTATCTTTCGAGCAGTGATTCAGTGCATCATGCACCAGAAATGCTTTTTTTTTATCCATTCAGAACGTAAACTAAGAGGAACATGGACAAATGTACTCAAAGGCATGTCGACATGTATTGACTTGCCCCTCAGCCTTAGTTCTTCCAAGTCTGCCATAACATAATTTCATAAAGATACAAAAACCAGATATTCACCGTCTAGAAGCTGATCCCTTATAAATGACTTTTTTTCAAGACAATAAATTTGTGAACCATTAGATGATCCGAACACTGAATCTTTCAAGGACCCCCTTTCAAGTATCTTAAGATATGATATGATACTACTTAGCATCTAAATGTTGCTGCCTTGAGATTTGCGTAAACTAACTCTCCACTCCCAACAAAATTAATGTCTAGTTCGGATAATTGAATCTAGCCTCCCACTACTAGCCTTCTATACCCTTTTAACAGGTTTAGCACCTAGTATTCCAGTCTGAGGGTTTACAATTCATTATTGTGTTAGCAAGTTGGTGGGCCATTTACACTGTCATTGTGCCCGAGGAGTGCCTTCCTTGATCTAATGTTCTCAATACCGAAAAGCTCTCTCATTTTTGTGAAAGTATCCTCAACATCTGTCCAGTTTCTTTCTTTTTTTCGACATTAGTCCAGATAATCACTACATTCACACATTCTGTAAGAAACTATTATCCAACTGTAGCTCTGTTTCACAAACATGGAGTGTGATGCAACGATGCTCTCTCTCTCTCTCTCTCCCTCTCCGTGTGTGTGTGTGTGTGTGTGGACTATAAGTTCCTGAGTAATTATGATCATTTATAGAATTATGGGCAACTGACTAGTATTTAATATAGTAATTAGATGCATGACATGTGCTTGATTGTCTCTGCAGGCCTTTGGCTGGGCATATGTAAACAACCAGCACAACACATGGGAGCAGTTTTATGTTTACTGGATTTGCCCCTTTATAGGAGCAATATTGGCTGCATGGGTTTTCCGTATTCTCTTTCCTCCCCCAATAAAGGAGAAGAAAGCCTGAAAAGGCCAAAAAGAATAAGCCTTATTGTCATTTGTGTTAATGAAGATAATTCCCGGTTGGGACTATTTGCAGCTTAGGAATTGTTAATATCATTTGTCAATTTAAGACGGTGAATGTTTTGCACCTATAATTTAGTGCCGCTGGTAAAAGAAATTGCATACTGTATGAAGGTTTTGAAAGTTCTAATTTCTGGTTGATGTTTAGCTAGGTATTTAGTAAAATGAGGTAGATATTTCCATCAACAACAGCCTTTCCTGTAATGAGGGCTGTAGGAGGTAGAAGAGGGATGTGACAAGGTTGTGGGGTCGATAGGGGCTGGTTTTGGGTGGTGGAGATGGTGATTTTGGGTGGCTTTGATGTTGGGATGATAGAGAAGAAGGATAAAGACACAAGACAGAAGTAAAAGAGCAAAACATAAGTGTTGTTTTGTCTTTTTAACTTTTATTTTACGACTATTAATTATTATTATTATTAGTTTGGTATTGACACAGAGGGATAAGGGTTAGTTTGGCCAATGCCTGTGTACTATGTTTTATGAGTAATGTTAAGAATTTTAAATATTTTATCATGTCTTATATAGATGTGTCTCTCATACCCATATGAGATATTTGATAAAATATTTGGGATCCTTAGCATTTTTTATATTTTATTTTATTTATTATTTTTTAAAGATAAAAGTGTGTGTTAAAAAAGTTGATGCATTTGTCAAATGCCAAAAAAAAAAGTTGTTTTTCTCATTGAGAAAGTTCAAGTGGAATTTAATTTTTTTTGTAGCCAGTAATTTTTTTATTTTTTTTTTTGTGTAGATTTTTCTAGAGTAAGATCTAAAAAGAATTATTTTAATAAATTTTTTAATATTTTTAGCTAAGGCTCTCTTTGATCAGAAAGGAAGAAATGATGGGAAGTGAAACTGGTAGCAAATAAAGTAAAAGAAAAGAAAAGGAAAAGAAAATGTTATTTCTTGTATGAATTTGATCAGGATGAAATTTAGATAAGAAAAAAGGAATTTTAATTAGAAGTAATTACTTTTACAATAAATGGTTAATTACACTAATAGTTTTTATAATTTGGGACTTATGTCACTTTGGTCCCTGACTTTTCAATTGTGACACATTTGACTCTGAATTTTGAATTTTGTTTCAAATAAGGACAATTGAAAATATCATTAGGTATTTTAAGGGTAAAATTGTCAATTTGATAAAATATAAACTAATTTAACAAAAATAAATGTCAAAAAAATATTTTTAATTTTTAAAAAATTATTTTTATCCACCAATGATAAAATTAATAAAAATTACATGATTAATTTTTTAAAATTAATTTTACATGATCATAATCCAAACACATAATAAAAATTAATTTGGTAAAAAAAAATAAATGTCTAAAAGATTTATTAATTTTACATAATTTTATTTTTAGTGTGTAGAAATAATTTTTAAAAATTCAAAAATATTTGTTTGATATTTATTTTTGTCAAATTAATTTATATTTTATCAAATTGACAATTTTACTCTTAAAAAATCTAATGATATTTTCAATTGTCCTTATTTGGAACAAGATTCAAAATTCAGGGTCAAATATGTCACAATTGAAAAATCAGGGAACAAAGTGACACAAGCCCCAAACTATAGGGACTATTTGTGTAATTTGCCCTATAATAAATTTAAATATTTTTATATTTTCTTGTATTTTTTGTAAAAATCTAGAAGCTTAATTATCATGCTATTATGAGTTGTACAAGAAAATTAATTTTTTTTTAACTTCTATCACTTCCATGCTAAACAAATTTACAAAAAAAATATTTTTTAAAATTTCTTTCACTTTCCATCATTTTCATTCTAACCAAACTGAGCCTAAAGGATCCAAAAATTTGACATGATATGAGATCATTTTTCTAGAGTAGGATCTAAAAATGACAGAATCATTTTTCACAAAGAATTTATTTAGATTAATTTTTTAGATAATCTGTAATTTCATTAAAGAATAAATTCTTGAGATTAATTACATTACAAAAATTACAGAATCATTATTCAGATCTAACAATGACAGATTATTTTCTGTCATGTAAACTTGAGATTATTTTTCACTAAAGAATTTTTTTAGATTGAACAGTAAAATAATTTTTCTAGAGTAGGATCTAAAAATAAATTTATTTTTTATTTTGTATTTTTTGTTATACAGTTTAATCAAACATGATAGAAGATTAGGGTTGAGTAAGGAATCTGTAAAATCCGTAATTCGATCCGATCCAATCCGATCCAGTAGGTTTGGATTAGTTTTTTAAATCTGTGGTTTGGTTCCAGATTGAAAAATTAAAAATCCGTAGTCCACGGATCAGTTCCGGATTGAACCCCACGATTCTGGATTGGAAAACATCCGGATCATATACAAATAACCTATATTTATATTATATACCCTCAAGTATAGTATCTTCTCTTATTCCATATAAAACTCAAACCTAAACCTGTATAGTATCTTTCTTTATTGCTTTTGTTTGTTGATTTTTAGTTTAATTTGTAATGATCTAAATACTTATGGTAGTTTTTTTTTGGTTATTTAAATTATAGAACAATATGTCGTTATTGTAGAAAGACATGTTGCTATTGTAGAACTAATATGATGCTATATTTATGTTTTTATGAAGTTAAAATGTTCTATATTTTTTTTTGTTATTTAATCACGTGAATTCGTAATCCTAAACTGATCCAATCCATGTTTAAATGGATTGGTTCGGATTAATTTCACAATTTAAACAGATTGGATTAATTCTAATATTTCAAGAATCATAGATAATGAATTGATTCTGATTTTACTCCAATCCAGACCATACTCATCCCATAAAAGATTAATCATTATTTTCTTTACTTTTCTCTTCTCTTTTTTTTTTCTCTTATAACTTCATAGTTATTTCTTCTCATTTATGTTCTCTTCGAAGTTCATGAACAAAGTGTTAGTCATTTCATATTTCACAATTTCAAATATTTGGCCTTTAAAATTGAAATTATTTTCCACTAATTTTGAGTTTTTACCTATCAATTTTAAAGTTTTTGTATGAAAAACCAGAGAAATTGCACTTTCTACAATATAATTTTTTTTTTTTTTTTGGTCCAAAATGGCGAACACAATAAAATCCATATATTTAACCACATAAATCTTGACTCTTTAGGTTAGCTTCGAAAGAAGCATAATACCAAAATCTTACCCCAAAAAAAGCATAATACCAAAATTATAAAAAAAAAAGGGGTAAATTACAAACACACTCCCTGAAATTTACTTAAATTACAAATTACCTCATGTGCTTCTAGAAATTACATTATGCACCCTAAAATTTCTAATTTCATAACAAATAGGCCTTTTTATTAATAATCATCAAGTTAATTAATAGTTTTTAATAATGTTAAAATTTTATTTCAATTAATAATTCAGATAATTTTATTATTGTATAGGTGAACAGTTAAAAATTTCACTTTTTCAATTAATTTTGTTAAATAAAAAATTCTGACAAGGAGGTATTTGTAATTTTTTAAACTACAGGGGGGAATTTATATTTTAAATAAATCTCAAGAGATGTATTTGTAATTTACCAAAAAAAAGAAAAAAAGAAGAGATACAGAAAATATAGCATTTGGATTTTAGAAAGAGATTATAAATATGATGTTAAGCTATCTTAGATATGAAGTCGTCGGTTGTAGATTTGAAATGGTTGAGGTGATGGTCACTAGTGGAGATGATAAGTGCTAAGGATAATTCATCAACCATCAATGCCATCAATAAAGTAAGTGCGACATAGTTACAATGTGTATGGTTGTATGAGAATATTATATAATAACAAGATTTAGTTAGTTGGTTATACAGTTAGGATTAGTTTCATTTAATCATTCAATGGAATAGATTCACAGATCCTTTATAGTATCAGAGCTTTTACAACTCTAACGAGTGATCCTCAATGGCTTCGTCGTCTCTTTCATCTATTCCTTCCAATCTCACCATACTAATCTCAAATATTAATTCTCTCATTACTGTCAAATTAGATAGCACAAATTTTATCCTTTAGGAAAATCAAATGCAGAATATTCTTTGTGCAACCGATCTTCTCAAATTTGTTGATGGATCATATCGTTGTCCACCAGATTCAATTCGAAGTTCTTTGGGCACTAAGATTTGTAATCTAGAGGCTATACAATGGAGAGTGATCGACGCACATCTTCTAAGTTGTATCACTGCTATACTCTCGCCGGCAATCTTTACTGCTGTTCTTAATCTTTACATCAGTTCTGAGGTATGGATGTTTGTAGCCCTACTTTCCGCGTTCATTTTGGAAGGCGAAAAGCCGTACAGTTTGGACTCCACTTGTGGGTCTAAATCTGATTTCACAAGTGCAATGTAAAATAGTAAAAACATAAAAAGAGTCCAAGTCTGACAATTCTTTTTGGAAAATCAATATTTGAATCAAATGCCAAAAATGGACTGCTTTGCCATATTACAAAGTCACTACCTAAATATTTTTTGGAAAATTTAAGAAATCCAAGACTTGTGCCAAAGGCCATTAGTCCATCATCACCAAAATGTCTCGGCTCAGGAACTTAGGTACGAGAGGGGAAGGTCATGAATTGAACACCCCACTTGTCCGATCAAAGATAGGCTTATACTAATCATGACGTGTCTTTTATTTACATTATATGCTCTTGTTTTGATTTATTAGCTATTTTTACTGTGTGATGCGCACCCAAAGTATAGATTAGTTTACAATATTTGGAACACTTGATCTCATGTGTTGCTTTGAAATCGTTTCGTGAATTTGCCACTTGAAAAAGTGGGCTTTAAAATGGACATTTAATCAAACCATCCCAATTTAAGCAACTAGCCTTCATCCACAGGCATTCAAACAATTATATCATTTAAGCACTTAGCCTCATGAAAGTATGCTTTAACATGGCAACACAAACATTCGATGCAAGATGCTAAAACAATAAAAGCTCACCTAGTACTCCGAGCCAAAACAAAGCAAAATAATTAGAAAAATATGCATGTTCTTAATTAATGCAATATGACTAATGTAACGCACACATTATGTATTTTATAGGCTCGACTATGAGCATGCCATATGATTTCATTCAAGACATGCGATAAAGCACGTATTCAAGCAATGAATTTTGAACATTTGATATTGGGTTAGTATGATGAGCCGAGCCTTGGATACATGCAAG